TACCTGAGTACGGCAGGATTTGTTTTTTGTTTTGTTGTTGTTATTGTTGTTTGTTTTTACGTGAAAGACACAACAAAATGGATCTTAAAGTGTTTAAGAGAAAAAAGGCTAAAGAAAAAGGTGATGGCTGGATTCTGAGCTAGAATGGACTAGTCCAACCACAGGGATTCCAATGGAAAAGTTACAATTTACACCAGCTCTAAATGCAGCCTGAAATATTTAGGCATACATGTATGTAGTACACAAACTCAACATTAGACTAACTCAATTTAATGTCACCCTTAGAATGGTATCTGTTCTTCTTTAGTGTAATACCACCACCACTACAAAAACAAACACACAGAAAAAAAAAAAAAAAAACAACAAACTACATGGACAGATCATAGAAAAGTTTTGACACATTTATGAACTGATTTCTGCACTTGCTTTTCCACTAGTTATGGTGCATACTGGAGCAGCCTGTCAAAGCAGAAAGGCCAACTGAGACCACAGCAATAGAAAAAAGGGGGAGCACAGAGACAGTCTGCAAAATAACATATGGAACATTTAATCATTTCTGTAAAAATGTAATTCAAGCAGCAGTCACAGAGAAATTTAGCATGAAGTCTGGGAAAAACCTATAACACAGCTGAGACCAACCTGAGCAGTAGCTGAAATAGAGAGGAAAAAAATAAAGTAAAATAGATTTGGAGACCATAAGAGCCTTAGCAAAAAAATAAACCAGGAAACATGCTCTAATCAACCTGAGAATGAATGGGTTAACTGGTGATGTTTTCATCGCATACATATTTTCTGGCTTCATTTATACAGTAAACTTTCTTTAGCAGAAAGTCCCTTGCCATTGCTATACACTGACTTCATCTAGTAGGGAGCAGGAAGCTGAACAAAGATCTGACAAACTTTCCTTTTATTATCAGTACTAGGGTGTAAAAATGTAAAAAGATGAAAATATGTAATATGAATTTGTTGCTACTAAAGCTGAACTGAAGTTTGATCTCCATAGCAGAGCAGTTGCGTAGTAGGGGTCCAGGGAATTCTCAGAAAATAGGAATGGGATTTAAAAGGAAAAAAAAAGGAAAAAAAAAAAAAAAGCTGATTGACTTAATACTTTGCCAAAGACTACACAAGAAAGAAGAGAAGCCTTTTTTTGGATGGAGAGAGTTTGGACAGTCGATGTAACTCTGGAGTGTGAAAGCTGTGTGGGTGAACCAAAGTTTGAAAGGGACACAATGTTCCCTAAAGAAAACTCTTCTGGGATACAGAAGCAGTTCTTTTTTGAAGAAATGAAGTTCATTTTGCACCCTAAAGCAAATATTTCTGGTTGGTTTAGAATTAGAATAGTTCAGTTGAAAAGTGGTCACTGGTTGCACCAGCGCTAGATATGGCAGGAGAATCACCTCTTTTGACTGTCTTGCTATGCTGTGTTTAATGCACCCCAGTTAGTTTGCCATCTTGGCTGCCAGGGCACGCTGCTGATTCGTGTTGAGCCTACTATCAGTCGGCACCCCCAGATCCTAGGGCTGCTCCCCAGCCACTCATATCCCCTTCTATACCTGTGTCTGGTATTGCTCTGTTCCAAGTACAGAACCTGACGTTTTCACTTGTTGAATTCCGTGCCACTGATGATTGCCCATTCTTTCAGTCTACCTAGAACCTTTTGCGAGGTCTCTCATCCCTTGAGTCAACAGCACCTCCCAGTTTAGTATCATTAGCAAACTTGCTGAGGATGCACTCCACTCCTGCATACAGGTAGTTGATAAAAATCTTGAAGAGAACTGGCCCTAGAATCGAGCCAGCCTGATGCAGTCCCATTCAGTACGATTGTCTGTGTGCTACCATTCAGCCAGTTCATCACCCAGCATAGTGTGTACCTATTCATCTCACAGGTTGTCCAGAAGGATGCAGTGAGGGACAGTACCAAAGGCCTTACTAAAATGCAGAAAAATTACATCTACTGCCTTCCCTTCATCCAATAAGTGGGTGACCTTATCGTAGAAAGATTCCAAATTATTAAAATAGAACTTTTCCTTCATGAACCTATGTTGACTATGTCTAATAGCCTTCTTCTTTAACTGCCTCTCAGTAGCATTCAGGATAACCTCCATAAGTTTTCCAGGTACTGAGGATAGACTGTTACGTCTGTAGTTTCTTTGGTCTTTTCTCATGCACTTCTTGTACATTAGGATAACATTAGCCAGCTTCCAGTCAGCAGGGTTCATCCCAGACTCCCAAGCCCCTTGGTAAATTGTTGAGGGGAGTCCAGTTATAACACCTGTTAACTCCTTCAGTACTCCAGGGTGAATACTGTCAGACCCCATGGATTTATAAATGTTCAATTGATACAACTTGTCCTTTTAATTTCAGTGACCACAAATGGAAAGTCAAATTTAACAAAGATGTTAAATATCTCAACCTTTTCCTCATTCTCCCTTGTTAGGTGACTATCCAGTGTTTTCCTTGGACTTTCTCTTGCTTAACATACTTTCAGAGGCCTTTTCTTTTTTTTTTTTTTTGGTTGTGTGATACTGCATTGGCTAGGATCAACTCAAGATAAGCTTAGTTTTACCTTGATTTCTTCCTACAAATGTGAACTTTGGCTCTATAATCTCCCTGTGAACCCTAACCTTGCTTCCAGAGATCAGGTACTTCTTTTGCCCAGGTTCCAAGAGGAGTTCCCTGTTTAGCCAAGCCAATCTTCTGCCCCACTTGTTTGACTTGCAACATGGTGCCTGCTCCTGGGCTTTTAAAAGGTGGTTCTTGAAAAGTGACCAGCTTTCAGGGATCCCTAAATCCTCTTTAGAGTATATTCCCAGGAGACACTGTTAACTAGCTTCCTTAGTAGCTTAAAGTCCAGGGTGACAACTCTGTTGACGTTTTCTCCTTACAACACAAGTTTTAAACCGCTATTTCATGATTGCTGTGGCCAAGATAGCCACCTACATTCACATCTCCCAAAAGGCCTGTAGTCTCAAATAGCAGGTCTAGGAAGGCATCTTTCCTAGTTGGCTCGCTAAACATTTGTGACAGGAGGTTGTCTTCAAAATGCTTTGGCAATTTCTCAGACTTGTCAGTATTCCTCCAGTTTATGCCTGGGAAGTTGAACTCTCCCAGAATGGTGAAGACAACCAACCAGGAGATTTCTCCTAATTGCTTATAGAATAGCTCATCTATGCCATCATCCTGGGTGGGTGGTCAACAATAGACACCCATGACACCCGACAAAATATATTTGCTTTGCTGTCCATCCCCTTAATTCTCACCCAGAGGCTCTCTACCACATCTTGCCCTAACTACGACACCAGATATACACCAAGTTTTGTGGATGACACCAAGTTAAGGGGAAGTGTCGATCTGCGGGAGGGTAGGAAGGCCCTGCAGAGGGACCTGGATAGGATGGGTCAATGGGCAGAGGCCAATGAGGTTCAACGTGGCTACAGGCTGGGTCCTGCACTTTGGTCACAACAACCCTATGCAATGCTACAGGGTTGGGGCAGAGTGGCTGAAAAGCTGTGCAGAGGAAAAGGATCCGGGGAGTTGGTCAATGCTTGTCCAAACTTGAGCCAGCAGTGTGCCCAGGTGGCCAAGAAGGCCAACAGCATCCTGGAATGTTGTTCCTGTATCAGGAATAGTGCAGCCAGCAGGAGCAGGGAGGTGATCGTCCCCCTGTACTCTGCTCTGGTGAGGCCGCATCTCAAGTACTGTGTTCAGTTTTGGGCCCCTCACTACAAGAAGGACATCGAGGCCCTGGAGCGTGTCCAGAGCAGGGCTATGAAGCTGGTGAAGGGCCTGGAGCACAAGTCCTGTGAGGAGCAATTGAGGGAACTGGGATTGTTTAGTCTGGAGAAGATGAGGCTCAGGGGACTCTTAAGTCTGCATTTAATGAACCCACCACACCTTTCCGTGTAATTTTTGTTCCTTTTTTTGCAGAGAGAAGAAAGCCTAGGACTGGTCATCTGACAGGGTTTACAAATGCTCCAATCCCTACTCCTAATAGTTTCAGCTCTGTAGGGAAAGGAAACTGCCTGGAAGTGAGAAGTGGAAGGGGCAGGACTGAGGACAAAGAATTGAGTCTTTAACTCATTCCAGGCATTGCTGTGGAAAATTTTTGTTTTCATGTTAACAAGGGAAGCAAATGGTAATCAAGATCTTCCTCTTCCCTCTGCATGTAGTTAGAGCCAATTTTTATTTCCTCCACATTCACACATCAGACACACATCTGTCTTCTACAGGTTCCTCTAATTCTCGTTAGACCTCTGTGTTCTCTGTCCCTATTGTAGCTTCTACTTTCTCTGTCTAGAAAGAGGGATTTGCCCATAGTTGTTTGCACTGGGTCTAATGAGTACAATTCGTTCCTCTTTCCACGGTCAACTGGTTAATACAATGTTAAGGGAGAAATCGTAAATACATAGAAATTGGGAATTCTGTTGTGTGGTGGTCATTGTGTCCTGTAAACATAGAGTTTATGTTTGCATAACAAGAAGACAGCCATATCTTTTTCTGGCTAAGTGCCAGGAAGTACCCATCCTTTTGTGGGATCAGAGCCCAAGATTTTGGCTTCCAAATCTTGTGATAAGAACAAAAGTGGGTGCTAAGAAGTAAGGGCTGTTTTATTACTGAATTTACTTCAAACTGTAATCCTGGAGGGTAGTCCTCAGGTGGAGTACCAGTTACTGAAACTGAGTGACTATTCATCTGATTTTCCTCTCCCTTACCCCATGGTCAGTGTGCCAACATAGCTATATTAGTTTAAAATCCATAGAAGCCATCAGAAAGAGACTATTATTTTCCCAGGCTGTGTTAATGCTTCATTGCATGATTCTGGCAAACAACCTAAATCACCTAGTATTTGCCTTTAAATGTAGGGTTTATTCAAACCCAGGGAAACAAAGCTGGAATTCAGACTAAGCTAGCAAACAAGCACTAAATTTCTGGGCAATGTTAATGAGCAACTTTCACTCAGAAATCATATATAAAACAGCAGTCAAGTCTTAGGAGAGATTATGTGAAAAACTCAGAGCTTCCAGGCTTGCCCAGAGGATGGGCAAGGGGAATGCGCTGTCATTCTTGATCCGCTTGCAGTTTTTGAGCACCTTGGGGCTTACGACAAATAAATCTGTGTCAAGGATTCCGCTTCTCCAGAACTTCTCTATTTTCCTGTGTTAGCGTGCCAAGGATTTGGTTTCAGGGTAGCCAAATCTGAAATGTATGTGAAGGCCATAGAGACCGATGTTGGCACAGGATCCTGCCCAGGAAAGGGCAAAGTCTGCCCCAGAACAACACCTTCTCTTGCCGTAGGCGTAGTGTTCGTCAGCCTTGTGAATTCGGAATGACACGAAGTGGGTGGGACTTGGTCAAACTCTCCTCCTCAAAACTCTTCCTGTCTGCACAGTCACAGAAGCCTCAGCTCATCAGGAGAGGATTTTGCTGAAGAGCTAGTCCAAACTTTCGACCTGAGGGAAGCTAAATATAGCACGTGTCTCCCAATAGACTTCAAAGGCTTTGGCAACAAAGGTCAGTACCGTTCTCCTCGCTTCATAGATGGGAAAAACAAAGCTGCAGAAGAGGGAAATTATTTCCTTGATATCATGAGGCAGTTTAGAACAGAATACTAGGGCATGAAAATCCTGTGCCCAGACCCGCTCTGCTAGGTCCCATGTGGCTTAAACTGTCAGTTGTGACAGGGAACTGCTTGTCTCTATTGTTTCTATCAACCCTCTTCCTTTTCATGTCACCACCTAATACTCCTTGCTTTTAGTGTCTGAACAGCTAGAAAAAGTGCATCTTTGGAAACTTATGCCACAGCAGGCATGTGTATTTCTATACATACCCAATTGGGAAGAAAATTGGAAACTGCATGTTTGAATTACGCCATGTATTGTGCTGATCAGGTCTTTTTATTGTCTGTCACCTTCCATGTAAGCCACCTCTACCAGGCAAGTTCCTAGTAGACTTCTTGGAGTTTCTGTCATTCTCCCTCTCCAAACCAATTGTTAATGGGAATGTATTCATCCTTATTTCCTTGTTCTCCTCTTTGAGAATTTGCAGAATGTGTTAAAACAGTCGCTTCCTTTAGCAGTTTAGCAGTTCTGTATTGCTGAGCCATACTGCAATGAATGTTGCTCTTCTCTCCATCAGATTAGAGTGGCTTGAAGATGAAACCCTCTGCTACCTATGAGCTGTTAGTAGACAGTGTTGGAGAATGGGACTTCACGGGTGGTTTTGTTCCTTGTGAGCTGCTGCTTGTTGGAGAGGATGCCTACCCTGTGCTTCTGAGCGCTGAGAAGCAGGTTCTGATCGCTGTTTCACGGTATGGGAAAGGCAAGATGGTGGTTATTTCCCACGAGGGAATCATGAAGAGCTCCAAGTTTTCCCAGTTCCTCAGAAATGCTGTGGAGTGGCTCAAGCCTTCCCCTGCGGCCCTGGTTGGGTCCCATCACCGGTTGGATTCCCTCTCCCAGCTGCTCCTTGGGGCTGGCATCAAAGTAGAGGCTGGGGTAGCGCTCAGCACCCACCACGGGGTGTACTGTATGGATGCCTATGACAGCACGCAGGCAAAAGACATAGTTTGCTTTGTAAAGGAAGGTGGAGGCCTGCTCATTGGAGGCCAGGCTTGGCACTGGGGTAGTCTACATGGGAAGGAGAAGGTGCTGTTTGAATTCCCTGGGAACCAGGTGACCAGTGTGGCTGGTGTGTACTTCACAGGAAATCCTGTAGCGAAAGGGATCTTCAAAGTTGCCAAGAAAATTCCAAAGATCCCCTTAACTGTTCCGTGAGTATCTGAATTGTTCTGTCTATTTAAACAAGTTATGCAAATGAGATGTTTACAGAAGATCCTTGAGGTAAGAGATGACGATGTTTGAATGCTGGTTCTTTAATAGCCAGGGTGGGATGCAGCTGTAGTCTTCAGATGTAAGAGAGAATCTCCTTGCTGTTTGTAATCTGAAAGAATGATGACTTTGCTTCCAGGGGAGTGGGTTAGGACATTCATTCAGGGTCAAGAAATGAGTGCAGCCATGTTGTAGAGCTGTCTCCCTGACCAGCTGTGCCTGTGAGCACCACACAGCAAGCTGGGGAAAGGAGGAGCAACTCCCCGGCTCCTATCCCATCCTTTCCCCCAGGGTGGGTATGTTCAGGCCAACTTTCACACAGTTCAAAACCACACTGGAGATGGAGCACCTCACCAGCACTCTGGGCTGGGCTCTGCCTGACAGCTGCTAAACCTGCTTAACCTGCAAAAATTTCCTTTTTGCAAGTGAAACCGCTGGACTGATGCTGAGCTGAGGAGGCAGGCCTGGTGCCACCTCCCTTCTCCAGAAGACACAGGCTGTTAGCAGGAACCCGCTGTGCTTCAAGTTAGTTTGGGATTCTAGCTTGGCCTTTTGGTCTCAGAGCAGCAGGTTGTGAAACTCTGAGCTGTTGTGTCTTGTATCGCAGAGCAGACAGCAGTGCCCTGGACTTTGCCCCTCTGTCTTCCTCCACCTCCCCTTGCCACTGAGCATACTGGACTGTGCCTAGCACCACTTTCTGCTCAGTTAGGGAAAGTGCCATGGGATCTCAGTGGAGCGGGAGCGGTGCTATGCTTCCTGTGTGTGGCCGTTTCACCTCACTGCAGTGGAAGTTGCAGTGACAGAAATAAAATTCCCAGAAAGTCTTTCATTTACTTCGCAGTGTCAGTAAAGTAATAATCAGAAGAGAGGTGCAGTTTCCTGTCCTATGGTGTGCACAAGGGCAGCATGTTTTATTGTAACTGAGCTGGCTGCAATGGCCATGTAACAACAGATTCTTTTCAGGTGTCAAAGAAAAATTGTGTTTGCCCAAATGGAGAAAATTATGTAATTGCAACCGATTGAACATGTCTTTCTCCACAGTGTCATATAGACGCTATAAGGAAATAGCAAAAATACAAGAGCCTTACATGGTAAAAGCTCCACAAAGATACTGTGGAGGATAACTGGTAGGAATTTTGGGTCTGTCTTTTGGGGTCTATCTATCCTTTCTTCACTTCTTAACAGAACACACAGAGAAATCTTTTGGGCTTGTCCAGTTTATGATACTTAGGGTGGAGTAGTTCAAGGAAGTTTCTGCTACAGGAGATATGCTGATTTCCTCATCATTTGCAGGTTAAATTTGCAAAAGACTTGCTTAAAAAATATGAAAGCTCCTTTGACTTTTGAGATCCCGCATTTGGATTTTCAGGCTGCTCTTCAAAGTAACAGGCCTGGAAACTTTTATTTGTCTTCATTTGTAAATGAGTGCTGAGATTCTTACAGATCTGGTAGACTGCAAAAACTGAATCTTTCAAAGAAAAAAAAAGATTGATGGATTTTACTTTATTTTTAAAATGAAAGAAGTGACAACATGATGTACTAGGGTGAGAGAGGAAGAAGAGGCAGGGACAGACACGGCAGCTGTTTAAGCAGAGGATTCTGGAATGGGGCTAACTTGAACCTCTCTTGGTTTTGCAGACACCAGGCCAGTCTTGGCCTCGATTCTGCTTTTCTCCTGCATGGTGTGTCAGAGCTGGATATGGTGACAGAGGGCACACCCTCCATCTTGCTGGTGCATGGTGTACTCTCCTTCCCGCTCTGCCTGGACAGCTCGCACCGCTGCCTCTTAGCTGCAGCACGCTATGGCCGAGGCCGTGTTGTGGTGGCAACCCATGAGAGTCAGCTCCTTCCCCAAAGATGGCCAAATTCCTGCTCAATGCTGTCCGCTGGCTAGATGCTGGGAGAAAGGGGCTGGTGGGTGTGGATGCCAGCCTGGAGAAACTGTGTGGCCTCTTCAGTGAGGAAGAGGTGAAGTCACAGGTATCAGAGCTGACAGGCAACATGAGCGTATACTGCTGTCCTTCTTACAGTGACAAACAGGTGGAGACAATTCATGCTTTTGTAGCAGAAGGGGGTGGCCTACTGATTGGAGGCCAAGCCTGGTATTGGGCTTCCCAGAACCGCGGCAAAGCTGCAGTGGCAGAATATCCTGGCAACAAAATCCTCAACCGCTTTGGGCTGAGCATCCTGGGGCAGAGTGTCGAGGCAGCAAAGCTCCCAGCCACAGCATTTGGGGAGCACTATCACTTTCGCAAGGCACTCTCTCTTTTCAAGAGCCATGTAGACAAGGCTGAGGATCTCAAAGCTCCCCTGAAAGGCTGGCTGCCAAGGCTGGCACAAGACTGTGCTGCCTTTCTGCGCATCCCTGCCCAGGACTGCCCTGCATATGCCTCACTGCACCGCATCCTGGCCAAAGTGCTTCGCCAAAGTGGGATCCCGCACGTCAGCAGGCACAAGCCTGTCAAGAGCAACTCCAAAGAGGCAGCCCTGCTCTGCATGGCAACTGAGCTGTCATACACCATGACAGACTGTGCAGCCCTAGTGCAGAAATCTGCCACTGGGGTCTGTTCCCTTCCTGTTACCGTGGAAATCGATGGCACTAATCCAGGTGAGTACCGTATCTCCCTTCCTCTTGAGGCATGCTGGCGCTGGGATCAGCAAGGCACTTGCCCTCTGTGTGTATGTCTGAACATGAGGACAGATGTCCAGTTGCACTGTGGGCTTGTGGGGATGCTGGCCTCTGTGTGGTGGCAGGCAGGCTCCTTTTATGGCTGGCACTGATTTTAGCTCTGAAACATGCCATGGAAGTCTTGCATCCTCATAATTGGTACACAGGCACTTGGAGAAGAGCCAACTATAGAAGCTCCTGAGGGTACTTGCACAGTGCAGTGGCTTCCTCAAGAAAGCTATAAGTTCCTCAGGAACTCCAGGCTCTGCTCTACCGTTTGTTGTCCCACTAGTGTTCTGACAGAGCCATCTTTGAGACCATCATGTGAAAAGGTGGGAGTTAGGTACAAAAGTTTTATTTTTTTATCTAGGTAATTTCAGTCTGAGTAGTAGCGGTCTCACAACTTCTTGTATCAGCAGAGCTGATGGAGTGAAGTTGTGGTTTTGGGGTGAAAACAAGAGACTGTGAGCAGGATGGAACTTCATAGGCTGACACCATCACTGAAGCTATGGTATTTGGTAATTACGTCCTGAATCATTTGTCTAACGTTAGCTTTGTAGCTATATAACTTTGAGATTCCTGGTACTGATATATTTAAACTTTAAGTAATTTCACTGGTAAGGTATTTTTCCATGGACAGATAAATCTTGAATTTTTGAATTTGAATATGATTGAGAGTTGTTGTTTGCAAACTATTCTAATGAGATAAAAAGGACAGTTCTGGAGTGGCAATGTCTTGAGTGCAGAGGAAGTTTCGAGACAAGAGTTGTGGAATAGTTGCTCACTGGTTGTAACACTAATGAGTCAGGGCAAAAGGGGAAAATTGTTAGGGTTGGTTGGATTGAAAGCATTGAATTGAATAGTGGGACTGTTCAGAATTTGTGTAATTCCACATTAAAAAAAAAAGAAAAGTGCTGGCAACCCATGATTTGAGATTAAACAATTTCAAAAATGCCATAGGTGTAAGTTCAGCAAAATTGAGATGAATTGGTGAAAAGTTATGATATTATGTCTATTTTACATTTTTCCATGGATTAGGTTTTGCCTGACAAAATTTCTTGGAGGATGGGGAAGGTTGTAAATGAGGAGCTTTAGGATGGTCCGGCTCTTCTGAGGATTTTTGCTGTTTGGACTGAAATATTCTTAAGTAAACTTTGTCAGAACTAATGAGTGGATTTTGCCTGATCAGTACAGTAGAGATGGATCAGTTTTGCAGTGTATATCAGAAGTGTCTACTGAAATCTCCGAGGCAGAGGAGGCTTTAATTTCCATGGGAAGGCTGTCTAGAGGCTTGCTAAATTTTAGTGGTGTGGTAGGGTACCCATCTTATGCCTTGGCTAGGACAGCCCTCTAGGCATTCTCATAACTTCAGTCAGCTTAGAAATGGGAATTCGTGTGGGCCCCAGCTTATGCTGACTAGTCAGTTGGGAAAAATTTGATGTCACTGTCAGTCTGTTATTTAGGAGATGTTTGATGACCATTACAACTTCAACTATGTCTAATACCACCACAGTATGCACCTCTGAGGGTAAGAGGATCTGAGTGGAGGAGGAGTTGTTTCTTTTTTAATTATTATTTTTTGTTTATTTTTTTACAAGTATTAATAAGTACCTTCGTCATTCTTGGAATTTTACGTTTGGGTGGGCTTGCTTGCTAATTGTGTGATGATCTTGTTCATGCCAATACCCTTTCCCTTTAAAGCTGTATTTCCAACAGATTGGATAAAATGTGAGACAATTGTGCATGTGTAGAGACAAAGACAGAAGATCTTTTACTGCAGCTTGAAATCTCCGGAATCCATAACATCAGGAGTTTCTGACTGTTCAGATCTGTGTTCTCTCACATTTTAGGTAAGACAGCCTGGAGGAGTACAGGACTCTATCTCCCTGAGGGTCACACAGCCGTTATAACATTCCCTTGTCGGCTGGTCGGTGCTGGTCTGCAGGTGAGCCCTTACTAGTTTGGCTACTGCTTACACAATGTCAGCTGGACACTCGAATATAGGTCTTAGGCCTTGTCAGTCCTTTCCTTCTGCTGCCACCCTGTGGCACTTTCCATGCATTGTCATCATTTTTTCACTTTGTTTCCACTCCTTGCATTCCGTCTGTGTGCTGGCAGGATAATTGATTGTGGCTGCTGCCTGGAGACTGCTTGCTGTACCTGTTCTGTTGCCGTGCAGAGAGAACTGATCAAGGTGATTCTAGGCCCAAATAAGTACTTGGGTGGGCCCTTCTAATCATGAAACTTAGTTCTGTCTCTTTCCAGAACTCTCCTAATGTACTTCCACAATGCTGCTACTGTTGCTCTCATAGATGTATCCAGATCAGATATAAACCAGTTAACTGGAATCCTGTTCTCATCAAAGAACAAAGCAGACAAAAGCTCACCTGCTTGGGTATGTTTTGCAGTAAGCTTCCTGCAGCTGAAACTCAAGATTAACTCAGGTATTTTTGTATAATCTTGCAGCCACTTTGTCTGTTTTACTGTATCAGGGCCGAGGAAGAGGCACAATAAAACAACCCAGGAGTGATCACACCTCTCCACCTCATATGTTATAGGATGTGACTTTGATGCTGGTGCAGGGTGAAGAAAAAATAAATACAAGTAAAGTACAGTGAAAAAAAAAACATTGCAATTCTGTGAACTGCCAATGAAGGATATAGCAGACCCCGGTAAAAATAGGAGCAGAGCCGTGAGACTGTCCGAGATAGAGACAGCACTAAACTTTTTAACTTTTTTGTTTTGTTTTGTTTTGTTTTGTTTTGCTGCTTCTGGCCACCACAGGCTGAACACTTGAACAATTCTGAAGTTAGAAAGCTGTTTCTGCACATGTGCCCTGCAGGAACAGCGCTACAGCAGAGGGCTCAGGGTGCTATAGTTCGTTGGCAAAGTTGTACTTGAAGCATTTTACCCAGCTGCTCACAAATCACCTACCCTTCTGTTTGCCAGGTGCAGGTTGGGTGTCATGCGGATGACCTCTCTAATGCTGAAGAGCTGAAACGAGCCCCAGTGGTAATACGTACCTGTGATATTACCTGCCAGAAACAGTCAGTTTCCTGCCTCTGGGGTGGCCTCATTTACATCATAGTACCAGAAAGGAGCGTCCTGGGAAAAGTGCCCATCACTGTAGAAGGGGCAGTCAGAGCTCCTTTCTTCAAGCTTGGTAGGTTTATTTACCTTGGTGCCTTTCTTAGTGCTGCTCATGATGCTGCTATCCCTGTGACTGAAATGAAAGATGCTGCCATGCTTAGGAGCACCTGACTGTGTTTAGTAATGCCTAGACTCAGTTTCCTTGGTTTGTCTTGCTCTGGGATTCCAGGTAATTCACATATTCACTCTGTGCCTGCTGTCACATGAGGGAGGTGAGGGAGCTGTCACAAAAAGGGCAGGGTTTGTCTAAACCAACATTTCTTAGTGGTTGAAATTGTCATTTCTGGTGAAAACCATGTGTTGATGGGAGTGTTCTGTCACAACAAAGCTTATCTTGCACTCTGTGTGCTTTAGTGTGATAAATCTCTGTGGTGAATTTTCCATGATTTCTGTCATTTTCTCTTTCCTTGTGGTATGCAACATCTTGTTCCTCTATCAAATTAAACAGAAATCAGTGTTGTTAGACGGAGAAAAAACTCCATTGGAGAAGAAGAAGCAAGATCATCAAGTGAGACTGGAGAAGCCTGCTTCTTATTCTCAGAAGGAAAACAGAGATTTGTTCTTGCCATGCTAACTACTTTGGTATATGACAGTTTGCTCCCATCTGTCTCCCATCCATAAGAGCCTAAGGCTTCCCAAGTACAGGGTGAGGATTAACTAATTAACAACCAACCACCTGCAGTTGCACACCTACCACGTACTGTTTTCCAAGAGAATTTCTCAACTGTGATCTGTTTCTTCAGCTTGACTTCTGGGAGTGTGCTCAAAAGTTAGAGCTGTGGTTAACTGATTTTCTGTGTTGATGTAGGGGAGACCTGTGAAAACCAGTGGAAGGCCAGTATCCGGCACTACCCTGCTCCCTGGGCAGAACTGGCAGCTGAGAGTCTCATCCTGACGGTACCAGCTGACAGCATCCGCCACTTGGAGAACCCAAAACCACTGCTGACCCTGTGGAATGAGATCATGGTGGCAATAAGCAAATTGGCAGCCATACCAACAAAGTTCCCAAGGCCAGAGAGGATTGTAGCAGATGTCCAGATCTCATGTGGTAGGTGCACTGACAAATGGCATTTCTCAAGTGGCTACAAGGCAAGTGGCCTCTAGTAGCAAGATCTGTTCCTGCGAAGTCACTTCAGTAAAGCCGGACTGGAAACATACGTAAAGGGTCAAATGATTGTGATCCTTGCATAATTGTGAGCTACTCAAACAGTATGAAAATACAGTAAGACAGTACTTATAAAAATTAAATAGACCCGTTCAGATGCCTCTCTGTCTAAACCAGCATTGTCTCACTCAGCTGTTCTGCTGCCTGGATGTGTTAAGAGGCAGAGCTGGTGACTGCAGGGTTTTTTGTCTCCTTCCTGAATGTACTGCTGAATCAGTACAGCTGGGAGACATTGATCTAATTTCTGTTTTTTTTTTTTTTTTTTTTTTGCCTCAGCCATAGGATTGTTTGCTTACATTCAGTGATAATTGTTATACTCGTGTGTACCTACCTGCTGGAAACAGGCTGTGCAAAGGTTACTGTGGGCAAACCTTAGTTGGAAAAGATGTGCCTGAGGTGATGGCAGTGGAGAAGCAGAAGCAATACTACTGTTAAAGCCCATGAGTTTGTAGTTTTGCAGTTGATACTCCATGACCCCAGCTTTTCAAGTTGTGTCTGAGTGTATTTGAATGAGTCAAGCTAGATGATAAATTCAGAACCTTGTAATACTATTTTTTCAATTGGTTTTCAAATCACGTTGGTGAAATTCATTATCCCAAAATGAGGCAAGGTCTTGGCACAAACCCTGATGCCCTAATCCTTTGCTAAGGCACATGGGAATAATCTGTTACACATTTTGGGAACGTTAAGTTCAGCTATGCTAAGCAAATGCCAGTTAAAAAGACCATTGGCTGCAAACACAAAATTCCCTCCTGTTTTGGGTGGAATAAATGGTTTCACTCACATTTCTGGACCTGATTTTTTTGCATGCCTATGGCTTTTAATTACACGCATCCCTCTTATTAGAAATTGGGGAGCTCAAGATCTTAAATAGTTTCTGCAGGAAGGGGGTTGTGATTGATGTCCTCTCACTTGAGTACTATACAGGCTTATTGTTCAGTTAAAGCCAGCTGTGTAGGCTCCCTACATGGATGTAGTGAGAATAAGGGCTGTTTATCCACTTCTACGATAGGTGTTTGATTTTGGGGAGATGATTCTTTTATGAAGCTTTGGGAATCTTTAAGAATAAGGACAAGTCAAGGATGAAAACACCAAGGAGACTTGGGAAAAATCCCTTGCAGTACAAAATTCTTGCCTTGCATGACACTGGGAAATTATTTATAGAACAGCTATTCTGTGAGGTTAAGAGCTGACTTCAGCATGACAAGTTTTGCAGCCCTCGAGCATGGCAAGCTGTAACATCCATGTATTTTGTCTACACTGCTAACTTCTGGAGTGCAGACATGCAGGATCCACACTCTACACAGGAAGTCAAACTCTGCCAGGGTGCTGAATCACATTATTGCACGTTTGGGTAGGTGTCAGCTGTGCTTGGTTTGTGAGCATTCGGGGTATTCTGGGCAAGAGACAGGAAAGAAAGTCTGCCCCAAACCTGAACCTTCCTTCAACCAAAAATCTCATCCTCAGCCCAACTGTGAGTGTACACTTAAATATAAAAAGGCAAAGTAGGTGAACTGTACTTAACTGATAGTACTGTCTCTATCTCTTCTTTGATACAGTAACGCTTGTACTATTTCCTTATCTCACAAAAAGGAAAAAAAAAGTCACTTATGGTAATCTTAGAATGATAGAATGTTTCAGGTTGGAAGTGACCTCAAAGATTATCTAGTTCCAACCCCCTGCAATAGGCAGGGACGCCACTGCTAGATTAGGTTGCTCAGGACCTCATCTAACCTGGTCTTGAACACCTCAAGGAATGGAGCCTCCACAACCTCTCTGGGAAACCCATTCCAGTGCCTCACCACCCTCTGAGTGAAGAATTTCCTCCTAACCTCTAACCTAAATCTCCTTTCTTTTAGTTTAAAATCATTCCCCTCATCCTGTCAATATCTGATTGAGCAAAAAGTTGCTCTCCATTTTTCTTTTTAAGTGCCCTTCAAGTACTGAAAGGTTACAATGAGGTAACCTCACTCCGGAGCCTTCTCTTCTCCAGGCAGATCAGCCCCAGCTCTCTCAGCCTTTCTTCACAGGAGAGGTGCTCCAGCCCTCTGATCATCTTTGTGGCCCTCCTCTGGACCCACTCTAACAGATCCACATCCTTCTTGTGCTGGGGGCCCCTCACCTGGATGCAGCACTCCAGGTAGGGCCTCAAAAGGGTAGAGCAGAGGGGGACAATCACCTCCCTTGACCTGCTGGTCACCCCTCTGTTGATGCTGCCCAGGATGCAGTTAGCCTTCTGGGCTGCAAGCACGCACTGACAGTTCACGTTGAGCTTTCCATCCACCAGAACCCATAAGTCCTTCTCTGCAGGGCTGCTCTCAATAAGTTCTTCTCCCAGTCTGTCCTCATGCCTGGGACTGCCCCGGCCCAGGTGCAGCACCTTGTGCTTGAACTCGTTGAACCTCATTAGGTTCACATGATCCCTCTTCTCAAGCTTGTCCAGGTCCCTTTGGATGGCATCCCTTCCTTCTGTTGTATCAACCATACCACTCAGCTTGGTGTCTCTTGTGAACTTGCTGAGGGTGCACTCAATCCCACTGTCTATGTTGCTGATAAAGGTATGGAACAGTACTGGTCCCAGGACAGACCCCTGAGGCCTTCACTTCACCGGCCTTCACTTGGACATAGAGCCATTGAATACAGCTTGTAATGTAATTGTAATACAGCATGGTTTGTGAGATGGAGGAAAGGTGCTGGAGAAATGAAAAAGAAATACAGTTACTTATGTTTAAGAGGCACTGGGGTAAGTACTTATGTTTTTCTTGCAGGCTGGATGCATTCTGGCTACCCCATCATGTGCCACATCGATTCAGTGAAGGAGATGATAGATGTGAAGCACATGAAAACTACTGGTCTTTGGGGTCCTGTCCATGAGCTGGGACACAATCAACAGCAGCAAGCATGGGAGTTTCCACCTCATACCACAGAGGCCACCTGCAATCTCTGGTCTGTCTATGTGCATGAGAAGGTGCTGGGGATTCCCAGGCATCAGGCACATGAGGCACTTACGTCACAGTGCCGGGAGGAAAGGATAAGAGAGTATCTGAAGAAAGGTGCTCAGCTAAAGGACTGGAACGTATGGACTGCTCTGGAGACATACCTGCAGGTAACTGGGAAAAGCGAGTGTATTAGTCACTGCACCAAGCCTGTCCGCATTTAAGAAGCGATTGGACTGTGCACTTAGCCACATGGTCTAAACTTTTGGATAGACCTGTGCAGTGCCAGGAGTTGGACTTGATGATCCTTATGGGTCCCTTCCAACTCGGGATATTCTATGATTCAGTAGTTGGTGAACCCTGTGTCAGAAGGATGTCTTCAGCCTGGTGACTCCAGGTGTCATGCCAGTGTTTGCTTACAATCCGGATTCATCATAGGTCCAGAAATCACTTGAGAGATGCACACGTAGATTGTGTAGTGCTAGCATCTCCTGTTACCCTTCCTTTGAAAGACTGGGGCTTAACTGCTCAGGAACAGAACTTAGTACAATATATTAATCTCTCTCCCTAGGAGAGAAACAGGAACTGCTTGTTATATATAACAATATATACATGTATATATATTATATATATGGTATATATAATTATATAGCATATATTTATGTTTGATTATATCATGTGGAAAAAGGATGATCAAACTTGGATCTTTAGTCCTTTAATCTGCTGCAATTTTCCTGTGGGACATTGAGTTAGCTGGCAAAAAAAAAAAAAAGTCCATTATAAGACTGATGAGGTGAATGTCCCTCAGCCCCCTTGTCTGGGAGCTCTCACATCTTCTATGAATAACAAAATATTTATTGAAGGAGTAGTGATCCTGATTTTACCACGTTCCAGAGTGGAAAATCAGTGAGCCTAAATCATCAAGCTAAAGATATTGCCTAGTCCATAGCGAGTCTCAGCACCAGGGGTTTCCATGGTAATAGGGGATTATGAGAGGTAGATAATCTGTCTGCCTGTACTTCCTAATGTAGAAATGCTGTCTGCTCCTGCTTAGCTGTTCCAGCATGATGGTGGATTTGTAGAACATGTTTTAGTGTCAAACTATTTAGTATCAGGAAGTGAGATGCAAGTCATGGCTTGGTAAAGAACTAAAGATATTCAGTAGATATTCTGTATCCTGTCATGCTGTTTCAAGTCAGCTCTTCATATTAACCTCATCTTGAGCAACAACATAGGTTTCCTCTCCCTCTTTACTTTAAATTTCTTGCTCATACAAGACTATTTTTTTTTATTTTTTTTTTTTAATCTGAAACTCCTGTGTTCTTATTCCTAGCCAAAACTCATGCTCAGCTCACAGTCTCTCCTTCTTGTTTTCTGATCATGCCTTGTTCTCCTGTCTTCCTTCTGTCCAGGTTATCTGTCAGCATCCTCTTTGATACTCCTTTTGCTGCACAAGAATCTTTCTTCCACACAAACCAACAACTTGTATAGATGATTGCTGACATTTCTAGCTCCTCCCAACGCATCTTTCATCTCTGTTTGTGCTTGCAAGCCAGTGTAATGGGAAGGTGTATTTTTCTGTACTCTAAGTTGTGCTCTGAAGCCTGAAAGCTGGATACCTTCTTCTAACTTTACATTAAATCCAAAAGACACTAGAGAAACAAGGGGTGGGAGGGTCACTCTACTGTTTGTAACACAGGAATAATGTCAATGAAATGAAAAGTTCACTGTTTTATACTGTTCTTCTCCCGCAGCTGCAGGAAGGGTTTGGCTGGGACCCCTTCACTCACCTCTTCTCTGACTACCAGAAAATGTCCTCTATCCCAAAAGACGACCCTTCTAAGATGAATTTGTGGGCGCAGAAGTTTTCTCAGCAGGTGAATAGGAATCTGGCTCCTTTTTTTACAGCCTGGGGATGGCCTATCAAGAAAGAGCTGTCTGAGGAACTCTCCTCTTTACCCACCTGGGAACAGGACCCAATGAAGTCCTACAGATCATGAAAGAAAAACATCTGAACTTTGATTCTCAGATAAGGTACAGCCTATGTTTTAGCCTTGTGTACTGCATGATTGCTCATTGGGCACTTGATATTACATTAATTTCTTTAGCTTACTAGTTTAGAGTGGAGGTTAACCCCCAACAGGTGTTCAGCAGAAACTTGTATGTTGCTCAGCACCCATCTAAACCACCTTCTGAAGGCTTGAATAATAAATAAGCTTTGTTCTAGGTTCTTCACCTCAGGAGGAATGTAATTCTGAGTAGATGTAGTTCCTGCAGAACCTTTATCTGATGAAATGGAAGTTTTCAGGATGGAGCAATCACTGGAGTGGTCTCAAGCACAATGCCAATAGAATAAGGGTCTCTAAAGCAAATAGTATCCTCCACAATGTTGTATTCTTCCGCTGTAATCTCAGTAATACGAGATGTTCACTATGGACATGAGTACCTATAAAATTCTTCATCTTTAATCTCCCTAACTATGCAGAAGGTCCATGCCTACTATCATGAAAATGACCTTATAATGCTTATATACAGCTTATATAACAGCTGATACTAAAATGTTGTAATTTCTTCCTGCTTTATATTGTGTGACCCAATGTCCAGCTTTGTGCAAATAAGTCAATGCTGAGTGGTAGCCATCACTCTTACTGTAGTCTGTGAGCAAGATACAAGCCATGAAATATATCAGCATAGAAACAAAGAAGAGGTGACTTGCTTATAGTTAATAGCGATCCAACTCCTGGACTCATCAGAAATTAAAAACCAGGCGATGACATGACAGCATGAAGGAGCAATCAGGAGCAGGACAGCAGCACAGCCAGCATTTTCGGAGGACCAACAGACATTAATGTTTCCCTCACCTCATTCATGATTGCTTGACTAGCACAACACACTGGTGACTACACAGTGCTGACAAGTGTTTTAATGCTTCGTCTAGTAGCATACTGGTCTGGACACCCTTCTTGTGTATCATCAATAAATAAGACAATTCTGGATTTTCAAACTGTGTGTGGTCCTACTTTCAAGTGTGCAGTTTAAAAAAAAAAAGCCTAATAAGAAGTGATCCAAAAATTTGTTACAGCAGTTTTTCATTTTTGTTCTGTCTCAGATGTAGTTCTGGCTTTTCTGTGATTCATTGGCCTAATATTTACTTTGTCTTTCAAACTTTCTTTCTGTGCTTATTCACTATCATTGTAAGTTGTTCTTCCAATAAAGTATATGCAGAGGCTAATGATAGCTTAGACAGTGGTTCAGTACTAGTTTAGTATTGAACTAGAGTAGAGTACTAGAGTGCTTTAGACTAAAAGGAAGGCTTTCATAGTGGAAAGGTTTAGATTTGACCCTGTCTACGGAAACAGATTTCACCCCTACTGAGTTTATGAGCAAAAGCTGAGTTCATGTACATTTAAAAAAATGCTGAAAATATTATTGGTTCTGTTACCTGAGTACGGCAGGATTTGTTTTTTGTTTTGTTGTTGTTATTGTTGTTTGTTTTTACGTGAAAGACACAACAAAATGGATCTTAAAGTGTTTAAGAGAAAAAAGGCTAAAGAAAAAGGTGATGGGCTGGATTCTGAGCTAGAATGGACTAGTCCAACCACAGGGATTCCAATGGAAAAGTTACAATTTACACCAGCTCTAAATGCAGCCTGAAATATTTAGGCATACATGTATGTAGTACACAAACTCAACATTAGACTAACTCAATTTAATGTCACCCTTAGAATGGTATCTGTTCTTCTTTAGTGTAATACCACCACCACTACAAAAAAACACACACACAAAAAAAACAACAACAACTACATGGACAGATCATAGAAAAGTTTTGACACATTTATGAACTGATTTCTGCACTTGCTTTTCCACTAGTTATGGTGCATACTGGAGCAGCCTGTCAAAGCAGAAAGGCCGAACTGAGACCACAGCAATAGAAAAAAGGGGGAGCACAGAGACAGTCTGCAAAATAACATATGGAACATTTAATCATTTCTGTAAAAATGTAATTCAAGCAGCAGTCACAGAGAAATTTAGCATGAAGTCTGGGAAAAACCTATAACACAGCTGAGACCAACCTGAGCAGTAGCTGAAATAGAGAGGAAAAAAATAAAGTAAAATAGATTTGGAGACCATAAGAGCCTTAGCAAAAAAATAAACCAGGAAACATGCTCTAATCAACTCTGAGAATGAATGGGTTAACTGGTGATGTTTTCATATCGCATACATATTTTCTGGCTTCATTTATACAGTAAACTTTCTTTAGCAGAAAGTCCCTTGCCATTGCTATACACTGACTTCATCTAGTAGGGAGCAGGAAGCTGAACAAAGATCTGACAAACTTTCCTTTTATTATCAGTACTAGGGTGTAAAAATGTAAAAAAGATGAAAATATGTAATATGAATTTGTTGCTACTAAAGCTGAACTGAAGTTTGATCTCCATAGCAGAGCAGTTGCGTAGTAGGGGTCCAGGGAATTCTCAGAAAATAGGAATGGGATTTAAAAGGAAAAAAAAAAGGAAAAAAAAAAAAAAGCTGATTGACTTAATACTTTGCCAAAGACTACACAAGAAAGAAGAGAAGCCTTTTTTTGGATGGAGAGAGTTTGGACAGTCGGATGTAACTCTGGAGTGTGAAAGCTGCCTGGGTGAACCAAAGTTTGAAAGGGACACAATGTTCCCTAAAGAAAACTCTTCTGGGATACAGAAGCAGTTCGTTTCTTTGAAGAAATGATGTTCATTTTGCACCCTAAAGCAAATATTTCTGGTTGGTTTAGAATTAGAATAGTTCAGTTGAAAAGTGGTCACTGGTTGCACCAGCGCTAGATATGGCAGGAGAATCACCTCTTTTGACTGTCTTGCTATGCTGTGTTTAATGCACCCCAGTTAGTTTGCCATCTTGGCTGCCAGGGCACGCTGCTGATTCGTGTTGAGCCTACTATCAGTCGGCACCCCCAGATCCTAGGGCTGCTCCCCAGCCACTCATATCCCCTTCTATACCTGTGTCTGGTATTGCTCTGTTCCAAGTATAGAACCTGACGTTTTCACTTGTTGAATTCCGTGCCACTGATGATTGCCCATTCTTTCAGTCTACCTAGAACCTTTTGCGAGGTCTCTCATCCCTTGAGTCAACAGCACCTCCCAGTTTAGTATCATTAGCAAACTTGCTGAGGATGCACTCCACTCCTGCATAGATAGTTGATAAAAATCTTGAAGAGAACTGGCCCTAGAATCGAGCCAGCCTGATAGTCCCATTCAGTACGATTGTCTGTGTGCTACCATTCAGCCAGTTCATCACCCAGCATAGTGTGTACCTATTCATCTCACAGGTTGTCCAGAAGGATGCAGTGAGGGACAGTACCAAAGGCCTTACTAAAATGCAGAAAAATTACATCTACTGCCTTCCCTTCATCCAATAAGTGGGTGACCTTATCGTAGAAAGATTCCAAATTATTAAAATAGAACTTTTCCTTCATGAACCTATGTTGACTATGTCTAATAGCCTTCTTCTTTAACTGCCTCTCAGTAGCATTCAGGATAACCTCCGTAAGTTTTCCAGGTACTGAGGATAGACTGTTAGGTCTGTAGTTTCTTTGGTCTTTTCTCATGCACTTCTTGTACATTAGGATAACATTAGCCAGCTTCCAGTCAGCAGGGTTCATCCCAGACTCCCAAGCCCCTTGGTAAATTGTTGAGGGGAGTCCAGTTATAACACCTGTTAACTCCTTCAGTACTCCAGGGTGAATACTGTCAGACCCCATGGATTTATAAATGTTCAATTGATACAACTTGTCCTTTTAATTTCAGTGACCACAAATGGAAAGTCACTGCTCCACCAGTCATGATCCTTCAACTTAAAGGACCTGACAACCCACAATCTATCATTAATACTGAAAATTGAGGCAACAAAGATGTTAAATATCTCAACCTTTTCCTCATTCTCCCTTGTTAGGTGACTATCCAGTGTTTTCCTTGGACTTGTGGACTCTCAACATACTTTCAGAGGCCCTTTTTTTTTTTTTTTTTTGGTTGTGTGATACTGCATTGGCTAGGATCAACTCAAGATAAGATTAGTTTTACCTTGATTTCTTCCTACAAATGTGAACTGTGGCTCTATAATCTCCCTGTGAACCCTAACCTTGCTTCCAGAGATCAGGTACTTCTTTCGCCCAGGTTCCAAGAGGAGTTCCCTGTTTAGCCAAGCCAATCTTCTGCCCCACTTGTTTGACTTGCAACATGGTGCCTGCTCCTGGGCTTTTAAAAGGTGGTTCTTGAAAAGTGACCAGCTTTCAGGGATCCCTAAATCCTCTTTAGAGTATATTCCCAGGAGACACTGTTAACTAGCTTCCTTAGTAGCTTAAAGTCCAGGGTGACAACTCTGTTGACGTTTTCTCCTTACAACACAAGTTTTAAACTGATATTTCATGATTGCTGTGGCCAAGATAGCCACCTACATTCACATCTCCCAAAAGGCCTGTAGTCTCAAATAGCAGGTCTAGGAAGGCATCTTTCCTAGTTGGCTCGCTAAACATTTGTGACAGGAGGTTGTCTTCAAAATGCTTTGGCAATTTCTCAGACTTGTCAGTATTCCTCCAGTTTATGCCTGGGAAGTTGAACTCTCCCAGAATGGTGAAGACAACCAACCAGGAGATTTCTCCTAATTGCTTATAGAATAGCTCATCTATGCCATCATCCTGGGTGGGTGGTCAACAATAGACACCCATGACACCCACAACAAAATATATTTGCTTTGCTGTCCATCCCCTTAATTCTCACCCAGAGGCTCTCTGGTGTCAAGGATTCTGCTTCTCCAGAACTTCTCTATTTTCCTGTGTTAGCATGCCAAGGATTTGGTTTCAGGGTAGCCAAATCTGAAATGTATGTGAAGGCTATAGAGACCGATGTTGGCACAGGATGCTGCCCAGGAAAGGGCAAAGTCTGCCCCAGAACAACACCTTCTCTTGCCGTAGGCGTAGTGTTCGTCAGCCTTGTGAATTCGGAATGACACGAAGTGGGTGGGACTTGGTCAAACTCTCCTCCACAAAACTCTTCCTGTCTGCACAGTCACAGAAGCCTCAACTCAGCAGGAGACGATTTTGCTGAAGAGCTAGTCCAAACTTTCGACCTGAGGGAAGCTAAATATAGCACGTGTCACCCAATAGACTTCAAAGGCTTTGGCAACAAAGGTCAGTACCATTCTCCTCGCTTCATAGATGGGAAAAACAAAGCTGCAGAAGAGGGAAATTATTTCCTTGATATCATGTGGCAGTTTAGAACAGAATACTAGGGCATGAAAATCCTGTGCCCAGACCCGCTCTGCTAGGTCCCATGTGGCTTAAACTGTCAGTTGTGACAGGGAACTGCTTGTCTCTATTGTTTCTATCAACCCTCTTCCTCTTCATGTCACCACCTAATGCTCCTTGCTTTTAGTGTCTGAACAGTAGAAAAAGTGCATCTTTGGAAACTTATGCCACAGCAGGCATGTGTATTTCTATACATACCCAATTGGGAAGAAAATTGGAAACTGCATGTTTGAATTACGCCATGTATTGTGCTGATCAGGTCTTTTTATTGTCTGTCACCTTCCATGTAAGCCACCTCTACCAGGCAAGTTCCTAGTAGACTTCTTGGAGTTTCTGCCATTCTCCCTCTCCAAAACCAATTGTTAATGGGAATGTATTCATCCTTATTTCCTTGTTCTCCTCTTTGAGAATTTGCAGAATTTGTTAAAACAGTCGCTTCCTTTAGCAGTTTAGCAGTTCTGTATTGCTGAGCCATACTGCAATGAATGTTGCTCTTCTCTCCATCAGATTAGAGTGGCTTGAAGATGAAACCCTCTGCTACCTATGAGCTGTTAGTAGACAGTGTTGGAGAATGGGACTTCACTGATGGTTTTGTTCCTTGTGAGCTGCTGCTTGTTGGAGAGGATGCCTACCCTGTGCTTCTGAGCGCTGAGAAGCAGGTTCTGATCGCTGTTTCACGGTATGGAAAGGCAAGATGGTGGGTTATT